AGTACGTCGGGCATGGGGCTAGTGCTTGGAGGGCGCAGTCTAGTGGTCCTCACTGGGCACGCAGACGCTTCTTGGGCTGACGACCAGGCTACGCAGCGGTCGTCACAGGGTTACACCTTCAGCCTTGGTTCCGGCTCTGTCTCGTGGCGGGCTACTCGCCCGTCTTCTGTTCTCGGCTCCAGTTGTGAGGCTGAGATCTACGCTCGGGCCATGGCTGCACAAGAGCTTCGCTGGCTCACCTACCTGCTGACTGACCTCGGAGAGCCGCCTCGTTCTCCTCCAGTACTGTACGTAGACAACAAGGCCATGCTGGCCTTGTGTCGAGAGCAGAGACTGGAGCACAAAACAAAGCACATTGCTCTCCGCTACTTCCTTGCTCGTCAGCTACAGCAGCGTGGACTGTTGCGGCTTGCGTACGTGGCCTCTGAGGCCAACACCGCTGATGTTTTCACCAAGGCACTTCCGCCTTGTGATCATCAGCGCTTCTGCACTCAGTTGGGTCTTGTCCCTGTCTTGCCTCACTTGCTCACCTCTTGACCTTGCTTGTACTGTTACATATATATACCTGCTCTTTCTTGTCTAGCCTTATATATTTATGTACTCCTGCATGTGAACTGGCCTTGTGGCCTTGTACTTGTGCTCGGAATGTGTGGTGACTTTGTGATCCACCCTGAGCTTTCCTCTGTTTTGCTTTGCTTGACTGGTCTTATGACCCCCTGTTCTCCCCCACTTTGCCTATGGGGGTGTGTCAGAACATTATAGCTTATGCTTTTGTGTAGGCTGTAGTGGGGTATCCCATAGGGGGTACAACCCAATTAGGGTTAGTACTTGTACCCACTTCATTCATAGTTCACTCATTCTCGTTTCAGTTTTTCTCAACGACGCACAGCAAGGCAAGCAGCAGCATCGCGTGTGGCCCACTGTGAGCGAACAGTGCTGTCAGCAGTGGCAGGCGGGGCAGGAGAGACACCAGAGGTGAGATCGAACAGAGAGAGTCCGTCTGCCCTATCGCACTGGAGAAACAGCTAGAGGTCATCGACCCAGACCTCAAAGTCAACGGCACGGCCCTTAGCATCAAAAGTAAGGACACTGGGGGTAGCCATGACTGCAGTGGCCTAGCAGGAAGTGAGCTCACCAGTCCGAGGAAGGAGGGCCGGGGAGCACCGGTAGGAACAGCAGCGGCTCGACAGTAGGGCGGCTCGTCGGCTCGGCGGCAGGGCGGCTCGGCTGCTGGGCGGCTCGGCTGCTGGGCGGCTCGGCGGCAGGGCGGCTCGGCTGCTGGGCGGCTCGGCGGCAGGGCAGCTCGGGTGCTGGGCGGCTCGGCTGCTGGGCGTCTCGACGGCAGGGCGGCTCGGCTGCTGGGCGGCTTGGCGGCAGGGCGGCTCGGCTACTGGGCTGCTCGGCGGCTTGGTCGGTGGGCGGCTGAGCGGTGACAGGGCCGCTAGGGGAGGGCGACGGGGCCGCAGGTGACGGCGACGGGGCCGTAGGTGGCGGCGAGGCCGCAGGTGGCGGCTGCGTGGCCGCAGGTGGCGGCGACGGGGCCGCAGGTGGTGGCGACGGGGCCGCTGGTGGCGGCGACGGGGCCGCACGTGGCGGCGACGGGGCCACAAGGGGCCTAGACGGGGCCGCGGAGGGGCCGTAAGGGGCCTAGACGGGGCTGTAGCAGGGCCGCAAGGGGCCTAGATGGGGCCGTAGCGGGGCTGCAAGGGGCCTAGACGGGGCCGCGGAGGGGCCGTAAGGGGCCTAGACGGGGTCGTAGCGGGGTCGCAAGGGGCCTAGACGGGGCCGTAAGGGGCCGGAAAGGGCGCCGCAAGGGGCCGAAAGGGGCCGCGCGAGGGCCGTAAGGGCGACGCGAGGGGCCTTAAGGGGTCGTAAGGGGCCGTAAGGGCGGCGCGAGGGGCCGTAGAGGGCGGCGCGAGGGGCCGTAACGGCGGCGCGAGGGGCCGTACGGGCGGCCAAAGGGGCCGTGAGAGGGGCCACTAAGGGCGGCTCGAAGGTAGGGAGGGCACACAGAGCGCGACTCGGGCAGGAGTGAAGCGCGCTCCGGGCAGGAAAAAAAAGTATCGTGGTGGGCCCTAGGTAGCGTTCCCACTAGGGAACCTGCTCGATACCATGACGAGAAACGAGAATGAGTGCATTAAGCAGAAAGGGGAGTACAAGTAGCAAACCCTAAAGTGTTGTACCCCATATGAACTGCCCCACTACAGCCTACACAGACTATAGCATATATGCCTGACATATATATAGCCTCGTGTTGTACCCAGGTGATCATTAAATTCACATTCTCTTTTCTGAGCTCGATCCTAGATCCTCACACCGAGGGCCAGCAGGGGCCGTTGCAGCTGGTTCTGGACTCAGAAATCTCCTCCGCCTTATCGCACTCTGAAGCATCCTTGTGGCGTGACAAGCGTGACAGGTCGCGAGGACCGGGATTGCAACGCAACCCGCCACGCTTCTCACACCAAGAAGGAGCTCTCTTGGCGGCGGACGCCAGGTGCAACACATGCTGATGGGTTGGGGGAATGGGGAGCACAGGTGCGACGATGGGGAGCACTCACCGATAGCGACCGCCCTCTCCCCCCTCACCCCCATCACTGCCCCCCTGCTCTCACTGCTCTCACCGTCCTCACTCCCCTCACCCCCCCTCACCCTCATCACCCCTCTCACCGATAACGAGCTTTCTCGGCGGCGGACGCCCGGTGCGGAGCATGCTGATGGGTGCGGGCAGCGGTAAGCACGTTTGCGACAATTTCCTGTCCTGCCATGCGGAAGTCTCAGGAGTCAGGAGTAGCGGAAGCCGCAGCCGTGGCGGAAGCTCCAGGGGTGGCGGAAGTCTCAGGAGTAGCGGAAGTTGTAGGCGTGGGGGAAGCCGTGGGCGTGGCGGAAGCTGCGGGGGATGGCGGAAACCGCAGGCATGGCGGGGAGAGCGAGCGGCGACGGAGGATGTAACGGCAGGCAATGGTAACGGATTGAACTGAAGACTGTGAAGCTAGCGATTTGGCGTGAGCGGAAACGAACGCGCCGTTCGAAATTTGACGGTCGGAAATGCACGGGACGAGGGGTCTGATGGCCGGAATCCCCGCTGAAACGAGGCAGCGGGAAGGAAGGAGAGCGGTACTCGATGAATTTGCATTATTTCCAGGTGATTACCATCGCGTGACCAAGAACGAGTGCGCCGCGCGATGGATTTGCACAATGCCGCACGTCGAGTGTTGGGCTGGATTCGCTATTACCGTTGAACGCGGAAAGTGTTCACTTCTTGGTGTACCGTTGGTCGTATAGTCTGTCATAATGGTTCATAAACTCATTGTCCGCTGGTGGTGGTCTTCACGGAAAATGCGGAAGTGCTTGATGTCAATAGACAGTACCATGGTAATTTCGAGAACCCCCACACCACGTCCTAAACCAAGCAACCTAGGCACGAGAGAAAAGACAACAGCGCACGAAGGATGCATGTGGGATTAAAAAAAAAGGCGGGTTTACACGTGGGGTTCGCGTTGATGTCAGATCAGTATAGGAACAATTGAGGAGCACCAACTTTTGAATAAGACGGCACAAAGCTAAAATTTTGTTTTTTGTTCACTCTAGGTTGAGACTATTTTATAGCTGAGATGAAACATTTCCGACACCGCAGTTCATCACACGTTTCGCAAATACTGCTTTTACAGAATCAGGAAGGTTCCATCAAACAGTAGCGTTCCAAATGCACTGAGATAAGAGATGTTGCAGCGGAAGGGACTCTGATTTATGGCGTTTCCTCCAGAAGCATTACCAACACACCTCGTGAACACATCAAGTGCATCCGAACAAAAGGTCCGTAGAGACTTCGCATGATACGACACCGATATGGCAGGCTAATGCGGCGTCGAAAGCATGCTCGTAGAACTGCGAATGCATTAGGCGGTGGCATTTCAGCCGATTGACCTATACGCGATTGGGAAACACCAGAAAATGGTGAGAAAGCGAAGTGGTACCTACAGCGGCTCGAAACGGAGACGGTTCGGCAGTGCTTCTGCCCGAACTGACTTGATCAGTCGGTAGTTTTTCTAGGTGGAAAATATTCCAGCCCGAGTGGCTCGGAGAATGGCGGGGAAGCGAACGAGCGGACCCGACGGCGGCTTGAAACGGAGACGGGTCGGCAGTGCTTCTGGACGAACTCCCGTGTTCATTCGGAGGGGTCTCGATAGTGAAAAGGTTGTTACGATGTGCTGTTTTCGACCAGCCGTTCTTGTAGCGTTTCTGCTTGTATCGGGGCTGCTCTTATTGGGACGATTCGCTACTGTAGAAGCGACGGGAGGAGGCGGCGAAATGAGGCGAAGTTTGGCGAGGAAAGGTCTGAAGGCTTCGGATACTGTGTCGTCGTCATCGCCTGCTCTCTCCGCCACAGCAGCATTAGTAGCAGCGGCCAAGACTACAGCGGCAGCAACAGTAGCAGCGGCGGCGGCGGCGGCGACAGCGGCCAAACCCACAGCAGCAGCAACAATAGCAGCAGTAGCAACTACGGCCAAGACCACAACAGCAGCAGCAGGAGCGGTGGCTGCAGCAGCTGGAAAACCAAGCGACGGCGTATTTGGTGTGATTATCAGCAGCAGTGCAAGCAGTGGCAGTGGCGGTAACAGCAGCAACACCAGCAGCAGCAGCAGCCATAGCGACAGCTCTCAAAACGAAGGCCAGATGAACCGATCCCAAGGCCAGCAGCAAAACCCCCAGCACCCTCAGCAATCCCAGCACCACCTGCTGCAGGCTCTGGAATCGTACGGTCTCGACATCATCGACCTGAACCCCCACGATTCCCGCCACGTCACTGCTTCCATACCCGTTATGGCTCCATCCGTTATAGGCACAGGTCGGTACAATCACTTCCAGGCAGCAGATTCCGCAGCAGCAGCAGGAGGAGCGGGAGCAGATACCACCAACGGCGGCGCAGGCGTTACATTGGGCGTTACATCTCACTCGGGCGTAACATCTATGTCGCTAGACTCGCCCCCACCGCACGCCCAATGGCACGTCGCCAGCTGTCAGTCCCCCCCCACGTGTCCCCGCATGGCCCCCTGCCTCGGTTCTCCAGGTCTGCAGCCGCCAGGGCTGGGGGAAGATCGGGGGGAGGGAGATGGTGGGGATGGGGAGACAGGGGAAGCGGGGGAGGGGTGGCTGGAGGAGGGCAGCAGCAGCGGTGACAGGGGGAGTGAGGGGAAAGGCAGGGGAGGGGGCGTGTGGGTGTGCGAGAACCCACAATATGTGGATCTGGTGGGGGTGGGGGGGGGGAGCGGGGGGAATCGGGGGAAGCAGCGGGGGAGGCGGGGGAGTGCAGTGGGCGGAGTGGGCGGGGAGGGTGCATGAGCTGGCAGGCGTGTTTGTGAGTGGTGAGGGGCGGGTGTTCAACTCAACCCACGTGTTCCATGCCAATGGCTGCCACGGGCTCACCCAGGTGAGACGCGCGTGATGGGCCGTGCCGTGTGTACTACCAGGCTAAGGAAGGGACTCACTTTCTTCCTGTCTCTGGTCTCTGCCTCTGGTTACCACGTAATGATAGGTGAGCGCGGGGGGAGGGGGGGGAAGAAGCAAGGGGGTGTTCAATGCGACCCATGTGCACCATGCCAATGGTTGCCATGGGCTCATTCAACCCAGGTGAGGCACATGGTGGGCTTGCACTGTGGGTTACCAACTGAACTGGTGACCGGCGAGGCGAGGGTCAAGGTGTTTTTGGAATTCTAGAAAGCTGGTGAGCTGGTGAGCTGGTGAGCGGGCCAGGCGTTCAGCGCCTCTGCCGTGGTTAAGAGGTGATGCTTGATCTTGTCAATATCCACTCTTCACCCTCTTTCTCTTGCTCTCCCTTCCTTCCCCCCTTCCCACCTACCCCCGACTTCCCTATTCCCCTTCTTCCCACTGTGCCTTCCCGCTTCCTCCCTCCCTCCCTCCCTCCCTCCCTCCCTCCCTCCCTCCCTCCCTCCCTCCTCCCTCCCTCCCTCCCTCCCTCCCTCCCTCCCTCCCTCCTTCCCTCCCTCCCTCCCTCCCTCCCTCCCTCCCTCCCTCTCTCCCTCCCTCCCTCCCTCCCTCCCTCCCTCCCTCCCTCCCTCCCTCCCTCCCTCCCTCCCTCCCTCCCTCCCTCCCTCCCTCCCTCCCTCCCTCCCTCCCTCGCTCCCCCCCTCTCCCTCCCTCCCTCCAAGCACGGTAGTTCTTCTACCCTTTCGGCACCCGGGTAACCATCCACGATACCCTCGTCAATCTCCTCGTCCCCAGAGGCCACGTGGCAGCTGCTGACGTGGCAGGCAGCAGAGACAGGAGCGGGGCAACGGTGTTACAACTGGCACCGCTGCTGCTGCAAGTGGCGCCGTTTCTGAGAGAGAATCCGGAGTTGCCGCTGCTGCTGGGGCAGGCACGGGTGAGTTGTACTGAGAGAAAATGGGAAATGCCTCCGCTGCTGCTGCTGGGGTAGGCACGGGTGAGTGCAGCGCAGTCCGTTTTCTAAGAACCTCAGAACGATGCTACGAGAAACAGGTTTGGGTTAGTGACACCACTTACCCGTGCCTGTCCTAGCAGCACAGGTTAGTGATGCCTCTGCTGCTGGGACAGGCACGGGTAAGTGGTGTCAGTTCTAGTGGCGTCTCAGAAATCGGGTATGAGAGTGAGAGAGTAGGGGGAAATGCCTCCATTGCTGTTGAAGCAGGCTAGGGTAAGCGCAGTGTGGCTTTGCCGCGCCTCGACAACAGGTTCTGGGAGCGAATTCGGGGTTCCCTATGCTGCTAGGACGGAGAGGGGTACGTGCAGTGCAGTGCAGTGCAGTGCAGTGCAGTGCAGTGCAGTGCAGTGCAGTGCAGTGCAGTGCAGTGCAGTGCAGTGCAGTGCAGTGCAGTGCAGTGCAGTGCAGTGCAGTGCTGTGCTGTGCTGTGCAGTGCAGTGCAGTGCTGTGCTGTGCGTCTGTTAGGTGCGTGTAAGTGCCGCATAACGTGGCTCTGCTTCTGGGGCAGGCACGTGTGTAACTGCGCTTGAGGCGCCTCACAGAGAGAGTGTAGGGACTCATCCTGGGAGTATCCAGGGACACCTTTGCTGCTGGGCGGTTTATGGGTATGTGGAGTGCACTTCTGGTACGTGGCTGCTGACACACTGATTGGTTTGGCTCTGCATACAACACACATACTCGCTCGCTTGCACCCTTCCAAGCTGACTTTTGAGTCGACCCAAAAGTCAAGACTCAAGAGTGCACTTCTGGTATGTACATACTGATTGGTTTGGCTCTGCATACATCACATATACTCGCTCGCTTGCACCCTTCCATACACACCCCTTGTATTATACAACATATTCGCACCACTGTGATCTTTCAATCACACTTCCCCCCCCCCCCCCCCCCCCTCTACATTCATGCACTACCATCATATTCACATCATCCTGATCTCTCTATGCACTACCATCCCATGTACTGCTCTCCCGCCGTTACACACCCTTTCTCTGTGTGTCTGTGTGTGCATGTGCGATCCGCAAACACCCCGCCTGCTCGCCTTCATCTCTCAATGCAACCATCGTATTTCCTCCCGGCCTTATCTCTTCGTGTTTTTGTGATCTTCCCCGCAGCTCCCTCGCCTGCTCGCCTCTGCATCTCTCAATGCAACCATCGTCGTGCCTCCTGCTGCTGACGAGCTCTTCTTTGTCAGGCGCCTCATTCAGGTGATTCCTCAGGTGACTCAGGTGATTCCAGTGGTGACTGAGGTAATTCTTTACATGACTCAGGTGATTTTTCAGACAGGGTAATCCATAAAGTTTTCAATTCTGCCCCCCCCCTTATGGACCCCATTCCCCTTCCCTCCATCTACGTTCCCCCCACCCTACCGTTCACAGCCCTACTCTAACCCCCCTTCCCCCAGCCCACCCAGCAGCCCTAAGGGCACCTTAGCCCCTCCCTCCCACCTCCGCTCCTCCTTCCTCCAACGCAATCGCATGTCCCTTGTTGTCCTCCTCCCCGTGGCCCCCATCCCCACTCCCCCTCCCCTCGTCCCCCTTTCCCCAGCCCACCCTGCACCACTGCAGGCACCTGAGGCGCTCAGTGTGGTCCCATCTCCGCTCTTCCCTCCGCAGTTCTTTTGTCCCTTCTCCTCCTCCCTATCTCTCTCACCTCCCCAGCCCATTCAGCAGCACTGTGTGCACCTTAGCCCCTCAGTGTCATTCCATCTCCCCTCCCACTTCCTCCTCTCAGCCTCATCGCATGTCTTGCCCCCTGTTCACCTCCCTGCCTCTCTCGCCTCCCCCTCCACCAGCCCACCCAGCAGCACTGCGGTCATCTGAGCCCCTCAATGTAGACCCATATCCGCTCCTCCTTCCTCCTCGAACCTTCCACCCCACATCCATGCCTTTCTCGTGTCATTAACCATATTCTATTCCTCCCCCCTCCCCCTCCCTTCCCCCAGCCCACCCAGCAGCACTGCGGCCGTCTGAGCCCCTCAGTGTGGACCCACCTTCGATCCTCCTTCCTCCTCCACCCTTCCTCTAACCACCTGCCCCTGCTTCAACCTGATTGGTCGCTGCGGCCGGCAGTGGGCGGCACATACCAGGACAAACGCAGCCACCCGGACAGTAGTGAAAAGGAGGATGACAGTAGTGGTATTGGAGAGGAGAGTGGGGGGAGGGATAGGGTGGAAGGAGAGGGAGAGGAAGGGCAAGAGGGGAGTGTGAAGGGAGTGAGGGAGGAGGGGAAGGTGGTGGTGGTGGCGATGCCTCGTGGCGTCCAGATGGCGGAGTTTGATTGGCTCGTGGGTCTGCTGAGGCAGCAGTTTGGGGAGAGCAACGTCACTGTGGTGAAGAGGCTCAGATGGAAGCAAGGTACTGAGGGGTGATGCGGGGTGATGAGGGGTGATGAGGGGTGATGAGGAGTGATGAAGGGTCATCTGGTGTGCTGTATGGGGTGTTAGGGGGAAATGGATATACCTCCTGCCATGCCCTCACTCCCTCATGCCACCACTCACCTCTCCTATCTTTCCCTTTTGTCCCCTTCCGTTTTCCCCCCCTTCTTTTCCCCCGTCAGCACGCACACTCCTCCCCCGCACTTCCCTCCTCGTCTCCCTCCCCCTACCCTCCCTCCTCCCCCTCCTCATATACTCTCGCCCCAACTCCTCCCTCCTCCTCCTCCAACCCCCAACTGGTCTCTCACTCTCTCACTCTCTCCCCTCCTCCTCCTCCTCGTCCTCCCCTGCTCACTCAAAGGATGATTCCTTGCCTGCCCAGCCGCTTCTCTCCAACCCCTTGCCCGACCCGTTCCTTTCGTCTTCTTCCATCATCCAATCCCTGAGTGCCACGTGTCACCTGCACGTCGTCTCTGTGCCGTCCGAGCGGCTGAATTTCAAACCTCTGCCGAAGCTGTGGCTCGTCACCGAGCCTGAGGCTCGGGAGGATGGGGAAATGGATCTAGGAGATTCCCAAGGAGGAGGATCGGCAGTAGGTGCGGAGGGGGGGAGTTTGGGGAAGGACGCTGTTGGAGATGCAGATGAGAAGAGGGAAAATGGTGATGAGAATAGTGATGATGCTGATTGGGGAGAGGAAGCCGAGGAAGAGAGGGAAGGAGAGACCAAGTCTATGCAGGTAGAAGGGAAGCGTGAAGAAGCGGAGGAGGAGAGAGGAGAGAAAGAGGAGGATGTGGGAGGGATCCGGATTACCTGGAGCAGAGAGGACCTGGGGGAGGCTGTATCTGAGGCATGCCTTCACCTGGGCTTGGATTGTCTTCGGCTTGGAAGCAGAGGAGCAGCAGAAGAGCGCGTGAGTGAAGCAGAGAGGAAGAAAAGGGAGAGGCTGGAGAAGCGATTGCGGAGGCGGGAGGCTGAGGCCTGGAAGGTTCCTGGAAGCTGGCTGCGGCGCCGGCGCGATGTGCGGGTGTTTGAGCGGTGGCTAGAGTGCATCAGCCGCGAGGGAAACTGGGTGTATAACCCAACTCCGAGGGTTTTACCCTGGGAATATCCCGGGTTCATGAACTTATGCGATCACAGGCAAGCGGATGAGGGAGTGGGGGTGTCCGGTATAAAAGCGGATGAGATTGTAAGGAGGGGCGGGAGCGAGGAGGAGTGGACAGTAAGAGAATCGCTTAAGTACGAATGGAGAACTCCACCTGGCAAATGCCCATTGGGCGGCTTAAAAACTTTTGACGGAGCTGCGTTTTGCAAGCGGGCAAGGGAGGAGAGAGGGACTATTAACATTGTGTTTCTCGGGGATTCCCTGACCTTCCAAATGGCTGGGAGCTTCTTGAACGGTCTGCTTCGGCACATCGCCAAGCCTGCGTCCTGGGCTGTGGACGAATTTGAACCTAAGCAGTGCGTGGACTGGCTCCTTGGGAGAGGAGGGGCAGAATCAGGAGGAGGAGGGGTGAGTGAGGATGGTTCCAGGAAGCCGCGCCGTGCTGCTCGCTGGAGGAATTTAAGAAGTAGGGATGGTAGTACTAGTGCTATTACAGGAGCTGCTAATATCGGGGATGAAGAGGTGGCGGAAGGAGAAGAGGAAGGAGAGGAGGAAGAGGGGGAGGAGGGGGATCGGGGTTCCGCTCCCGTGGTGGTGACACCACATCCGTTCTGCAAGGTCTATGTGTTTCACGAGAATGTGTGTCCGGGGGTAAAAATTCATGTGATTCGCAACGACCACCTTTATATCCAGGACCCTGATTTAGCCAGCCCCGCTGACGGCAGCAGCACCACCAGCAGCAGCAACGGGAGTGCGACAGGTGGCAGCGTGCCATTTGATCACATGCCGTGGCACTTGTATGACGGTTTGGTGAGTGCTGATGTGGTGGTAGTTAACCGAGGCGCACATTATGTCGGTGGGAGGGATTTTGAGCTCTCGGTGCGGGCTGCCATGAGGCTGCTTCGCAGGAAGCTTCCTCGCGCCCTTCTTGTCTACAGGAATTCGCCGCCCGGCCATGTCAACTGCTCATCATACGACCGGCCAATAAAAATTCGGCAGGATCCGGCGACGTTGCCGTTCCACTGGGATACGTTTTCGTCGCAAAATGATATTGCGAGGGAGATAGCGGAGGAGGTGAAAGCAGTGTACATGGATGTTGATACAATGACGGCACTTAGACCAGATGGCCATAAGGGGTATGTGAAGGAGAGGGGGATAACGGATTGTCTTCATTATTGTACTCCGGGTCCTGTTGATACGTGGGTTGAGATTCTAGGAAACATTCTAGCTCATGGAGTGTTTAATGAAGGCTTTGAAAAGTAAGAAGCATATTGTTGTGATGTGACATTTCTTTCTGGTCAGTCTCAATACTAAGCTAGCTAAGTTAAAACGAAACGGTGCTTTTTAATCCGAGGCCATCCGACTCCGCGGTCCGCATTCAAGGAACGAATACGTTATGCCAGATCGTCGTGTCGAAGTCGTTCCATTCCTGTGTCGTCTTGGTCGCAACCGCGTGTTGCTTGTACACGTACCTCCCACAATCGTCCTGAGCGTTGCATCAGGTTATGGGACTGTTGCAGATACTGCGTCTAAACACGCCTTCCCGGAGATTCTTCATTTCATCCTTAGCCGTTTTCAACCATTGCTGGGTTGGCTGGTTGGTGGGCCTCGAGAAGAGACTACCATACCATCGTAGTGTCAGCAGTTCACATCACACAGTTACGCATTCCCCTGAAAGTGGTAACGATGACGAGCGGACCATGACCAGAGGAACGCCAAAACGTATGTAAACTCCGCGTTTCGCGAGATTATCGAATCCAGCACTCAACGTGCACTGTGCAAATGCTTCGCACGGCGCAACCCACGCTCAGAATAGGGTGAATTCGTCGTGCAAGCGCTTTTTCCTTTCTTCCCGCTTCCCGGCGTTACTACTTCCGGTCGTCAAGCCTCTCATCCCCTGCATTTCCAATCGTCAAATTTCCAAACGGCCCGTCCATTTCAGGAGTCTTCAGTTAGTAGACTTATCTCCTGTTGAAATTAGCTGGTTTCGGACTGCAGCAAGAGTCTACGAAGGATCTACTAATCTGAAAAAGCGTTGGAAGTCGTTAGCAAAGGTCTTTTAGTCAGAACGCCAGACACATAGGCCCAGATGTCGCGTGCGAACGCGTTTCGGCCAGCAAAGGCCTTCATCAGGCCTTTCTCAAAGCGCTAGCTTCAGGAGTCTTCAGTTGTTCGACTCATTTCCACTGCCTGTCGTCGCATCCGCCGTCGCCGCTCGCTCTTCCCGTCACGCCCGCAACCTTCGTTGTTGGCGTCGCATCCTCCATCGCCGTGCGTTCTCCCCACCAAGCTCGCGGCTTCCGCCATGCCCGCAGCTTCCCCCTACGCTAGAGACTTCCGCGCGACGGAAAATAAATTCGTTGCGGGCGTTCTCTCCGCTCCCCCCATCACCATGCTTCGCACAGCGCATTCACCGCCGAGGGGACTCGTTACTGGTGAGGAGGGTGCGGGGAGTGAGGGGGATGAGGGGGGCGAGGGGGGTGCGGGGGGTGAGGGGGGTGACGGGGGTGCGGGGAGTGGTGGGGGTGAGGGGGGGTGAGAGGGTGAGGGCAATGAAGGCCCTGCTTGGTCCAGTGTTACATTGACGAAGCAATATCAAGCCGGGATGGGAACGGCACTGCAGTGCTGGACCATCCCCTGCAGTGCTGGACCATCCCCTGCAGTGCTGGACCATCCCCTGCAGTGCTGGACCATCCCCTGCAGTGCTGGACCATCCCCTGCAGTGCTGGACCATCCCCTGCAGTGCTGGACCATCCCCTGCAGTGCTGGACCATCCCCTGCAGTGCTGGACCATCCCCTGCAGTGCTGGACCATCCCCTGCAGTGCTGGACCATCCCCTGCAGTGCTGGACCTAAGTTGTTGTGCTCACCATCACCTGTGTCATCACTCTAAGCCCACCTTTCCCTGTTTCATCATTTTTCGGTTCCACCATTCCCTCTTCCATTGTCTACATGTCTCCCCTGTTTTCACCATTCCCTGTTTTCACCATTCCCTGTTTTCACCATTCCCTGTTTTCACCATTCCCTGTTTTCACCATTCCCTGTTTTCACCATTCCCTGTTTTCACCATTCCCCGTTTCACCATTCCCTGTTTTCACCATTCCCTGTTTCACCATTCCCTGTTTTCACCATTCCCCGTTTCACCATTCCCTGTTTTCACCATTCCCCGTTCCACCATTCCTTTTTTCACCCTTCCATCTTCCATCGTCCTTGTTGTCAACCCTGTCTCGTTGCAGTGCTGCTCTGGGTGCTGCCCCTCGTCACACTGCTTCGGCCCTCTGCTGCTGCCACAAGTACGTCCTCGTTATAGACAGATGGAGTGTCATTCAATAGTTTCTTCTGTCGTTGTTGCAACACAAGACGGCTGCTCTGGTCGGTTGTTTTGTGCCGGATTTGTTCACTTCTTTGTTTCCTTTGTCCGCTCTTTATCTCTCTGCACTCCGGCCCCTCCCTTGTCCTCTCACTCCCCTTAAAGTACAGCAGGAGGGATTCATAGGCCTGTGTCTCTTAGATGCGTTAAAGAATTCTTGGATGTGTTTCATAGATGTGTTGAAGAATTCTTAGATGTGTTGAAGAATTCTTAGATGTGTTGAAGAATTCTTAGATGCGTTGAAGAATTCTTAGGCGTGTCTCCTTTTTACCAGCGTCCGCCCTTACTCAGTCTACCTTCACGTTTCCTCTCACTCCTCTCAAAGTAGAGCAGGAGGGATTCGTGGACCAGCTGTGTTGGAGAGTGGGACACAGTGCTTACTTGCAGACCCAACTAACATGCAGAAGGAAGGTAGAGCAGGAGAAATCCTCAAACATGTCTTTTTGTTTCCTGCGCCCACCCATACTCACTCTACCCTCCCTTGTCCTCCCACTTTCCTCCCACCTCCCTCACCAACCTACGTTTTACCTCTTGCCACACCCATCTAACCCCCACGTACTACCCCATTGCCACTTGCAAGCGTGTCTCACCTTTGCCCCGGCCCCCACCCGCCTGCCTCACCAACCAACCCACCTGTTATCTCTTGCCGCACCCATCTCACCCTCACTTACCGTGTTGTCCCATGCTTGCAACCGTGTCTCACCTTTGCCTCCTTGTTGCCTCTAGCCACGCCCAGTTACCATGTCCTCTAGCCACGCCCAGCTACCATGTCCTCTAGCCACGCCCAGTTACCATGTCCTCTAGCCACGCCCAGTTACCATGTCCTCTAGCCACGCCCAGTTACCATGTCCTCTAGCCACGCCCAGTTACCATGTCCTCTAGCCACGCCCAGTTACCATGTCCTCTAGCCACGCCCAGTTACCATGTCCTCTAGCCACGCCCAGTTACCATGTCCTCTAGCCACGCCCAGTTACCATGTCCTCTAGCCACGCCCAGTTACCATGTCCTCTAGCCACGCCCAGTTACCATGTCCTCTAGCCACGCCCAGTTACCATGTCCTCTAGCCACGCCCAGTTACCATGTCCTCTAGCCACGCCCAGTTACCATGTCCTCTAGCCACGCCCAGTTACCATGTCCTCTAGCCACGCCCAGTTACCATGTCCTCTAGCCACGCCCAGTTACCATGTCCTCTAGCACCTACTCGGTGCTGTCGTCGTCGTGGAGAGCCTCCACAACTAACCCCCCCATTGCCCATTGCCCCTCCCTCACCACCCACCACCCCCACCACTGCACTACTCGTCGCTGCTGTCAGAAGTCTGCCCCAACTGGCTCTCGGTGCTTTAAATTTGTATCGCACCCCTAACAAACCCCCCATTGCTCCTCTCTGCAACAGACCCCCCATTGCACCCTTTTCTCGCCCTGCACCTCTCTCACCCCCACCACCCACCACCCCCACCAGTGCACTACTCGTTGCTGCTGTCAAAAGAGCCGTGATTTGATTTGCTCCCGCCCGCGTGATGGCTGTCAACACTCGTCCCAACCACCCTTGCCCCTTTTTGAGGCGCCTCAGAAGTCGTCCCCACCCACGTGATGGCTGTCAACACTCGTCCCAACCCAACCCCCCTTGCCCTTTTGCCCTGTTATCGCCTCGCCTTCCTCACCCACCCCCTTTCGCCCCTCGCTCACCACCCACCACAGCCACCAGCGAACCCCTTGTTGCTGCTGTCGAAAGTCGCACCCACCCCACCAGCATGGTGCATTCAACACTACTCCCAATCCCTCTTGCATCGTTCTCTCTCCCGCACCAAACCCCCCTTGCCCCTCGCTCACCACCCACCACACCCATCAGTGCTCTACTCACCCCTCTGCTGGAGGATCTTTCCACCAGCGCGGTGCTTTCGCCCTCTTCCCATCTCAACCACACCAAACCCCTTCTCTCACCGTGTTGATGTTACTTCCACCAGCGCACTACTCGTCGCTGTGCTGGAGAATCGCTCTCACCCAGTAGCCCTGTGCTCTCAAGTCCTTGTTGCCCCTTCTCTCCCCCGTGGGTGGCGCCCTTCTCAATTCCACCCTTCTTCCCCATGCCACCCCCACCAGCGCACTACTCGTCGCAGCGCTGGAGGATCGCCCCACCAGTGTGGCGCTTTCGCTCTCTACCCATCTCAACCGCACCAAACCCCTTGCTCCCTGCATTCATCCACCCCACCAGCGCACTACTCGTTGCTGCGCTGGCGAATCGCCCCCACCAGCGCGATACTTTCGCTCTCTACCCATCTTAACCGTATTAAACACTTTTCTTGTTCGTTCCGTCACCCCCAGCAGCGCACTACTCGTCGCTGCGGTGGAGAATCGCCCCAACCAGCGTGGTGCCAGCCACCACAGGCACCTTCGCTCTCACTGTTGACAGCCCAGACAGGTGCGTGAGGAAGAGATGGCTGTACGGTCCGCACTCAAGCACAGGTGTGTTCTGAGTCGACTGGAAACCCACCAGCGTGGTGCCTACCAGCCGTCACAGCCTCCTTTGCTCCCACTGTTGGCATGCCAGACAGGTGATTGATGGGGATAGCTACTCTGCTGTGTTCTGAGTCGACTGGAAACCCACCAGCGTGGTGCCTACCAGCCGTCACAGCCTCCTTTGCTCCCACTGTTGGCATGCCAGACAGGTGATTGATGGGGATAGCTACTCTGCTGTGTTCTGAGTCGACTGGAAACCCACCAGCGTGGTGCACTGCACTGCTGCCCACCATTGCCAGTGACCACAGGCACCTTGGCTCTCCCTGTGGGCACGCCTGACAGGCACGACAGGGGGTAGCTGCAACATCCACTCGCCTCTGCTCGCCCACTCGCCTCTGCTCGCCCACTCGCCTCTGCTCGCCCATCGGCCACCAACACTATCCACCCTTTTCCACCCTAAGTCAACACAAGAGTCAGTTATACTTGCTTTTCCTCTCTTGTATCAAATCTGCAACTTTCTTCTCTCCTTGTCTTCTCTTCCCTTGCATCCCTGCCAGCTCGCCATCCTCTCAACCTCAGCCCATCTCCTACACTCTCACAGCACTTACTCAAAGCTCCGTTCTTTCCTCGCTCCGCTTCCCTCTTTTACTCTCCTTTGACTGCCTTCCTCCTTCCCTTTTTTCCACCCCCATGCCCCCTCTGCCAGCACCACTTCCTCTCAGCCTCAGTCCATTTCCTACACTCTCACAGCACACACTCATTGCTCCGCTCTCTACAGTGTCGTTCTCTACAAAAACGTACCTCTAGGCGGTGACAGCTCCTCCTCCTCCTCCTCCTCCTCCTCCTCCTCCTCCTCCTCCTCCTCCTCCTCCTCCTCCTCCTCCTCCTCCTCCTCAGAAGCAGCAGCATTTCTCCCACACGTGGAGCCCACAAAAGGAGGCAGGAGAGGAGGAGGAAGCAGGGGAGGAGACAAGGGCAAAGGGACAGGGAGTGACAGCAACAGAGGTGGCAGCAGCATGCCATCTCTGGTCAAGGACCCAGTCGCGATAGTGGATTCTCTTCGAACACGCCTTAAGCTCAAACCTAAGGGCAATGCCAAGCCATCCCCTAAGCCCAGCGGTGCACCAAGCCATGAAGGTTTACGGGCAGGTGGAGGTGGGGTTGTGCCTTCAGGGGCTGGTGTCGTCCAAGCAGGAGGCATAGGAGTTGACAGGAGTGGCACTGGGCAGACAGACATTGTCGCTGGAAGCAGCAGCAGCGGCAGCGGCAGCGGCGGCAGCAGCAGCAGCAGCATGAAGGGTAGTGATGTGGTGAGGTTATTTCTGCCCTGCCCATGGCAGGCTAATGATGGGACTGGTGAGTGGACCTGTTCAGGGAGCCTAAACCTTTCTACGCTTCCCTCCAACACAGGCGATGCAGCAGGATCAGGGGAAGCTTCCTCCAGCACTGATGCAATGGCTTGGCAAGAAATATTGAAGGACCCTACTGTAGCTCTGTTTGGAGTGTACATGCAGGAGAGTTTGAGCCAGGGCCAGCCCGATATATTTGGTGTTTTACTAGAAGATGCCACACCAGGCGAGGGTGGTGGTTGAAACAATACTTATGGATCACGATGCTGCTAGTGTACTCAAGTGTACTAGTACTTCTCCCCCTTTTTAGGGCTTCTGCTAATGCATTAGTATGGTGGACTGCTAACTCTGTTTTGTATTCAATTGCAGGCAAATTTTGGGCTGTGATTGCCTTTCCTTTAAAGTATATTGAAAGTCTTTATGTAGGAATCAAAAGGAGACAGACACAATTCATATATCCCGTTTCGAGTTTCCATTGGTAGGGGCCGCGCGAACGCGAGCCCCCGCTGCCACAAATAATGACGTGCATCACCGGGAGTTCCGGCGTGCTAGGAGTAGGGCCGGCCGAAGTGCAATGGCGGGCCCACCCCTAGGCCATCGGCCTTCATGATCACCGATAGACCCCGCCCAGGTAAGTATACTTAGCCTTTGTCAAGAATTCGTAATTATGGAGATTGGTTGGGTGCGTGTTTTTATGCTTTGTGGGTCGGACTGCCACGTGTGCTCTCAGCTGCGCGAGCTGTGTGACAGTCCCGCGGATTCGAATTTCGAATGCTTGGAAGAGTTTCGTTTCGTGTTCCTACTCCCTCCAAACCAGCACGAGAAAGCCCATCCTAGCAAAATACCTTCTCATTCGTGCCTCCTACTTCCCGCCAACCTGTAGTCGCCACTCCAATACTTGCGCTAATTGCGCTAGCTGCGCTAGGATATGCCCCTGCCGACACACTCGCGCACTTGCCCGACAGGTTTTCATTCTCTAGTACTTGCCCAAACCCCCGGAGGTAGCCGACTGGAAGTTACACTCAATCGCGGTTTCTCGTCGGGTATATTGGTCACGGTCTCATGCGGAAAGTCCGCCAGGCTGTCGCATCGCAGATTCTTGCAGCTAAAGCAACGTCTGGGTACCTTGAGCATCCGCCAGGCTAACGTTGCGCTAACGCACCCCTAGACGCCACCCTAAGGTCACGGTAAGCTCAGTGGAGGGTTTTAGTAGCTGACAGACTCGATGGTTGGTAGCGCAACTTTTACGTTGTCCCTAGTGACATCAACCTCGAGATTACCCGTCGTTTGTGCAAGCTAGGACCTGTAAGTGTATTAGGCCTTGTCCTCGACGAAACAGGTCGTTTTCTGCATCTGTGCCGAAAATGCACGCGATTAGGCCGTGGTGGCGTGCGATCAGGCCGTGGTGGCGTGCGATAAGGCCGTGGTGGCGTGCGATAAGGCCGTGGTGGCGTGTGTTTAGGCCGTAGTGGCGTGCGATCAGGCCGTGGTGGCGTGCGATTAAGCCGTGGTGGCGTGCGATTAGGCCGTGGTGGCGTGCGGTCAGGCCGTGGTGGTGTGCGGTTAGGCCGTGGCCGTGTGCACGCACTGGTCTGTCAGGCTTTGTAGCGTGGAGTCTTCGATAAACTGCTTGTTTTCTGCATCCGTGCAAGCTGTTATCCCTGTTAAGACTCCTGTGGTGCCCTTGTAGCGTGGCGTGCTGTGTAGAACAGAACCTTTGCTATAGCCCAAGCTCAGGCAGAACAGAAGCAGGTGAGTAACTAAAGCTCTCAAAACTAGCCTGCTATGTGCACGCACTGGCCTGTTATTCCTTGCAGCGTGGAATGCTGGATGAAGCAGGCTCGGGTGAAGGGATGGGGAGGGGCTATTAAGGCCTGTCAGCATTCCCGTACCGTCCCTGCCGTGTGCACGTGATGACCTGTTATGCCTTGTACCACGGCGTGTTGGGTGAATCAGGTTGTTTTCTGCATCCTGTGGCGTCCCTTCCGTGTGCACGCGATGGTTTCTTAGGTGTTGTACGGTGGTGAGTTGTGTAGAACAGACGCGTGGCTGTAGCTCAGGATCGGCGTGTTAGGCCTGTTAGGCCTTGTAGCGTGGTGTGCTGTGCAGACAGACGCTTCGCAGAAGCCCAGGCCCGGACAGAAGCGAGAACATGGCGTATCAGGAGAGGCGAGAGCACAGTCGCACAGTCATATGTGCCTGTGCTCGTCCCAACCCCTCTGCTCTGTGTCTCTGTGCCTCTGTCCCTTGGTCCGCAGGCTTTCGCACTAGGCGCCCCTCGGACAGAAACGAGAGCATGGCGTATTAGGGGAGGCGAGAGCACAGTCGCACAGTCATATGTGCCTTTGTGCCTATGCTCGTCCCAACCCCTCTCTGCCTTTGTGCCTATGCTCGTCCCAACCCCTCTCTGCCTTTGTGCCTATGCTCGTCCCAACCCCTCTGCGCCTTTGTGCCTATGCTCGTCCCAACCCCTCTGTGCCTTTGTGCCTATGCTCGTCCCAACCCCTCTGTGCCTTAGTACCTATGCTCGTCCCAACCCCTCTTTGCCTTTGTGCCTATGCTCGTCCCAACCCCTCTCTGCCTTTGTGCCTATGCTCGTCCCAACCCCTCTGCGCCTTTGTGCCTATGCTCGTCCCAACCCCTCTGTGCCTTTGTGCCTATGCTCGTCCCAACCCCTCTCTGCCTTTGTGCCTATGCTCGTCCCAACCCCTCTCTGCCTTTGTGCCTATGCTCGTCCCAACCCCTCTCTGCCTTTGTGCCTATGCTCGTCCCAACCCCTCTGTGCCTTTGTGCGTATGCTCGTCCCAACCCCTCTGTGCCTTTGTTCCTATGCTCGTCCCAACCCCTCTCTGCCTTTGTGCCTATGCTCGTCCCAACCCCTCTGTGCCTTTGTGCCTATGCTCGTCCCAACCCCTCTGTGCCTTTGTGCCTATGCTCGTCCCAACCCCTCTGCGCCTTTGTACCTTGGTCCGCAGGGCTTCACTATAGCCCAAGCTCGGACAGAAGCGAGAACATGGCATACCAGGGGAGGCGAGAGCACAGTCATATGTGCCCGTCCGTCCCTCTCCCTCTCTCAGCACATTCATGGGCTCACTAATGCTCGTCCCAGCCCCTCTCTGCCTCTCTACCTCTGTGCCTCAGTTCACATCACAGCCCTCTGTGCCATTTTGGGACGCGCATTAGCGATGAAATGGCACAGAGGGCTGTGATGAGACACAGGAAAGTTGAGATTTCATCACAGCCCTCTGTGCATAGGATGAAATCTCAACTTTCCTGTGTCTCAACACCTCTGCACCTTTCTGCCTCTCTGCCTCTGCGTCTCTGCGTCTCTGTGCGTCTGTGCCTCTGTGCCTTGGTCCGCAGGGCTTTTTCCTCTGTGCCTCGCCATGCACATAATCAAATCTCAACCCCTCTGTGCGATGCTAGGGGTGTAAGGCCGCTGCAGCCCATCCCGCCGCAGCCCATCCCGCTGCAGCCCATCCCGCTGCAGCCCATCCCGCTGCAGCCCATCCCGCCGCAGCCCATCCCGCTGCAGCCCATCCCGCTGCAGCCCATCCCGCTGCAGCCCATCCCGCTGCAGCCCATCCCGCTGCAGCCCAACCCGCTGCAGCCCATCCCGCTGCAGCCCATCCCGCTGCAGCCCATCCCGCTGCAGCCCATGTGTTTATCTATCATGGATGAATAATCCCTCTGTGCCATTTGGTACACCCCCTCATTCCATCCCTTTTCTCCATCCCCTCGCTGTATTCTTGAGTCGACTAAAAAACTGTCTCATCTGTTTATCATGGATGAGTAATGATCCCTCTGTGCCATTTGGTACAACCCTCTGTCGCTCCATCCCTCCTTGCTTCATCCCTCCTTGCTTCATCCCTCCTTGCTTCATCCCTCCTTGCTTCATCCCTCCTTGCTTCATCCCTCCTTGCTTCATCCCCCCTTGCTTCGTCCCTCCTTGCTTCATCCCCCCTTGCTTCATCCCTCCTTGCTTCATCCCTCCTTGCTTCATCCCTCCTTGCTTCATCCCCCCTTGCTTCGTCCCTCCTTGCTTCATCCCCCCTTTCTTCATCCCTCCTTGCTTCATCCCTCCTTGCTTCATCCCTCCTTGCTTCATCCCTCCTTGCTTCATCCCTCCTTACTTCATCCCCCCTTGCTTCATCCCTCCTTGCTTCATCCCCCCTTGCTTCATCCCTCCTTGCTTCATCCCTCCTTGCTTCATCCCTCCTTGCTTCATCCCCCCTTGCTTCGTCCCTCCTTTCTTCATCCCCCCTTGCTACATCCCTTGATTTTTTCCCTTGTTTTATCCCTCCCTCATTCCCATCTCTTCTTCCCTCACTACATCCCCTCGCTCCCTCCCCTCCTCCCTTCCTCCCCTCACTCCATGCTCACGCTCCCTGCCCTCACTCCATTCCCTCCCCTCTCTTTCTCGCCTCGCTCCCTGCAATCCCTCTAGCTTCCTCCCCTCGCTCGGCCCCCTCCCTCTCCCCCTTGATTTCCCCGTTTGCTCCGCCCCTTCCCTCCATCTCCTCACTTCATCGCCACTGTCCCATTGGTTTCTGCAGCCATCCCGTCGCCGCCACCACTGCCATGCGCACCTCCCACTCATCGGATGAATCTTGCTTGTCCTCGTAAGAGATGAATCTGCAGACTGGAGGTCATTTTTGTTCCCCCATGGCTTTGCCTCATCCCCTCACTCCATTGCTGCTGTCCCATTGGTTGCTGTTCTGCTGCAGCCCTCCCATCACTATCACCTCTGCCATGTGTATCTTTTTCAATTGGAAGGGTTTCTTCTGAGCATGCGAGAGATGAATCGTCAGGGCTTTTTTTGTGGGGTTTGAACCTTTCTAGGTTTCTCGTCGCGGTTTCTCGTCACCGTTTCTCTTCGCAATTTCTCGTCACGGCTTCTCGTCACGGCTTCGCGTCGCGCAACTGAATTTAAAAGGGTAACCTGGGCACGGTCTCGCGCGGGAGGTGCGCCAGGCCGTCGCGTCGCTAACGCCAACCGAGGCGTACCGTTTCGCTATCGCAGCGTTAACGTTACCCGTACCTAGAACGCCGCCACCCTAGAACGTCACGGTAAGTTCAGTGGAAACATTCAGTAGGTGACAGCTTCGAGCGTTTCTAGCGTGTGTATGCGATTGTCTGAGAGCCCTAGTAACGTAAACCTAAGGTCACGGAAAATTCGGTGGAGAATTTTCAGTAGATGACAGACTCCAGGGTTTCCAGCGTGTGTATGCAATCGTCTGTTAGCCCTTGTAACGTCAATCTAAGGCCACGGTAAATTCAGTGAAGATTTTTCAGTAGCTGAGGTGACTTTTGAGTCGGCTCAGAAATAAGGTCAAGGTAAGGTCAGTGGAGATTAAGCAGTAGCTGGCAGATTTGAGGGCTGCTAGCGTGTGTATGCGCTCGTCTGTTAGGCCTTGTGGCCCTGGTGTGCTCAGTAGAAGAAGCTGATTTTATATTTTTTTTTTTCTGCGTTCTCGAAACGAGATTTCCGGTCGTTTGTGCAACCTAGGGCATGTGAGGATCTTAGGCCTTGTCCCGTGGTGTGCGAATGGCCTGTCTATATGAATCTGGTCGTTGTCTGCATCTGTGCAGAAAATGCACGCGAATATTCCGTGGTGGTGTGCGATTAAGCCGTGGTGGTGTGCGGTTAGGCTGTGGTGGGGTGCGGTTAGACAGTGATGGTGCGCGATCATTAAACCTGCCAAGAATCCCGTGTTCCCTGCTGTATGCACACGACGGTCTGCCAGGCCTTGTACCGTGTGGGGTGCTCAGTGAAGCAGGTTGTCTGAACAGACGCTTCTAAATAGCCCGGGTTCGGATCATTAGGTCTGTTAGGCCTTGTAGTGCGGCGTGCTTGCTGACGCAGGTTGTTAGATAGAACAAACGCTTCCCAATAGCCCGGGTTCGGATCATTAGGTCTGTCAGGCATTGTAGCGTGGCGTGCTCGATGAAGCAGGCTTGTGTGAAAAGATGGGGAGGGGCTATTAGGCCTGTCATGCCTTGTACCGTGGCGTGCTCAGTGAAGCAGGTTGTCTGAACAGACACTTCCCAATAGCCCGGGCTCGGATCATTAGGTCTGTCAGGCTTTGTACCGTGGGGTGCTCGAGGAAGCAGGCTCGGGTGGAGGGATGGGCAGGGGCTATTAGGCCTGTTAGCATTCGCATACCGTCCCTGCTCTATGCACGCGACGGTCTGTCATGCCTTGCACCGTGGCGTGCTCAGTGAAGCAGGCTGTCTGAACAGACGCTTCCCAATAGCCCGGGCTCGGTTCATTAGGTCTGTCAGGCCTTGTGGCATGGCGTGCTAGATGAAACAGGCTCGGTGAAGGGATGGGGGGGGGCTATTAGGCCTGTTAGGCCTTGAATTGCACAGGATGGCCTGTCACGCCTTGTCCCGTAGCATGCTCAATGAAAAAGGCTCAGGTGAAGGGATGGGGAAGGGCTATTAGGCCTGTGAGGCCTTGTGGCATGGTGTGCTGGATGAAACAGGTTGTTAGAACTAACAGACGCTTCGCCATAACCCCAGCTCGGGCTATTACGTCTGTCAGGCCTTTTAGCATGGCGTGCTTAGTGAAACAGGCTCGGTCGAAGGGGGAGGGGCTATTCGGCCTGTCAGGCCTTGAATTGCACAGGATGGCCTGTCACGCCTTGTCCTGTAGCATGCTCAATGAAGCAGGCTCGGGTGAAGGGATGGGGAGGGGCTATTAGGCCTGTGAGGCCTTGTGGCATGGCGTGCTGGATGAAACAGGTTGTTAGAACTAACAGACGCTTCGCCATAACCCCAGCTCGGGCTATTACGTCTGTCAGGCCTTTTAGCATGGCGTGCTTAGTGAAACAGGCTCGGTCGAAGGGGGAGGGGCTATTCGGCCTGTCAGGCCTTGAATTGCACAGGATGGCCTGTCACGCCTTGTCCTGTAGCATGCTCAATGAAGCAGGCTCGGGTGAAGGGATGGGGAAGGGCTATTAGGCCTGTGAGGCCTTGTGGCATGGCGTGCTGGATGAAACAGGTTGTTAGAACTAACAGACGCTTTTTGAGGCGCCTCAAAAGACGGACTTTTAGGCCCGGTAGGCCTTATGGCGTGGTTTCACTCAGGTTGTGTAGAACAGACGCTTAGCCATAGCCCACGCTCGGGCTATTAGGCATGTCAGGCCTTGCGGCATTGCGTGTTGTTAGAACTCTTCACCACTTACCAGGTGAGGCGGGAACACAGTCGCACAGGTGAGATGAGAACACAGTCGCACAGGTGAGATGAGAACACAGTCGCACAGGTGACATGAGAACAGTCGCACAGGTGAGATGAGAACAGTCGCACAGGTGAGATGAGAACAGTCGCACAGGTGAGATGAGAACAGTCGCACAGGTGAGATGAGAACAGTCACACAGGTGAGATGAGAACAGTCGCACAGGTGAGATGAGAACACAGTCGCACAGGTGAGATGAGAACAGTCGCACAGGTGAGATGAGAACAGTCGCACAGGTGAGATGAGAACAGTCGCACAGGTGAGATGAGAACAGTCGCACAGGTGAGATGAGAACAGTCGCACAGGTGAGGCGAGAACACAGTTGCACAGGGGAGGGGGGAGGACAAGTGGCACAGGGGGGGCGAGGACCACAGTCGCTAATTGGCTTGCCAACGCTTGTCTCAACTCCTCTCTGCCCCTATGCCACCATGTCTCTCCGCCTCTCTGTCTCTCTGCCTCTCCATGCATAGGATCAAATCTCGACCTCGATGTGATTGGCCAGAGCACGGAATCAGATCTCAACCCCTCTGTGCGATGGTATGGTAGTAAGGCCGCTGCAGCCCATCCGTTTGTCGTGGATGATCCCAATCCCACTGTGCCATTGCTTTTGAGACGTCTCAAAAACACCCTCATTTCACGATGTTATGGTGGTAAGCCCAATGGAGCCCCAGGTAGTGAGGCCGCTGCAGCCCATCCGTTTATCATGGATGATCCCATCCACTGTGCCATTGCAGTACACTGTGCCATTGCAGTACACTGTGCCATTGCAGTACACTGTGCCATTGCAGTACACTGTGCCATTGCAGTACACTGTGCCATTGCAGTACACTGTACAACCCGTCTGCCTTTTGAGGCGCCTCAAACGACAACCCGTCTGTCGCGCCATCCCTTTGCTCCATTCCTGTGTTTTGAGTCGACTCGAAACACAGCCCATCCGTTTATGGATGATCCCACCCACTGTGCCATTGCAGTACACTGTGCCATTGCAGTACACTGTGCCATTGCAGTACACTGTGCCATTGCAGTACACTGTGCCATTGCAGTACATTGTACAACCCGTCTGTCACTCCATCCCTTCGCCCCATTCCCTTCGCCCCATTCCCTTCGCCCCATTCCCTTCGCCCCATTCCCTTCGCCCCATTCCCTTCACCCCATTCCCTTCGCCCCATTCCCTTCGCCCCATTCCCTTCGCCCCATTCCCTTCGCCCCATTCCCTTCGCCCCATTCCCTTCGCCCCATTCCCTTCGCCCCATTCCCTTCGCCCAGTTCCCTTCGCCCCATTCCCTTCGCCCAGTTCCCTTCGCCCCATTCCCTTCGCCCCATTCCCTTCGCCCCATTCCCTTCGCCCCATTCCCTTCGCCCCATTCCCCTTGCTCCATTCCCCTTTGCCCCATTCCCCTTGCCCCATTCCCCTTGCCCCATTCCCCTTGCCCCATTCCCTTTGCCCCATTCCCTTTGCCCCATTCCCCTTGCCCCATTCCCTTCGCTCCATTCCCCTTTGCCCCATTCCGTTTGCCCCATTCCCCTCGCTCCATTCCCCTTTGCCCCATTCCCCTTGCCCCATTCCCCTTGTTCCATTTCCCTTGCCCCATTCCCTTTGCCCCATTCCGTTTGCCCCATTCCCTTCGCTCCATTCCCCTTTGCCCCATTCCCCTTTGCCCCATTCCCCTTGCCCCATTCCGTTTGCCCCACTCCCCTTGCCCCATCCCCTTTGCCCCATCCCCGTGCCCCATCCCTGTGCCCCATTCCCCTCGCCCCATTCCCTTCGCCCCTTTCCCTTCGCCCCATTCCCTTTGCCCCATTCCCCTTGCTCCATTCCCCTTTACCCCATTCCCCTTTGCCCCATTCCCCTTGCCCCATTCCCCTTTCCCCATTCCCCTTGCCCCATTCCCCTTTCCCCATTCCCCTTGCCCATTCCCTTTGCCCCATTCCGTTTGCCCCATTCCCCTCGCTCCATTCCCCTTTGCCCCATTCCCCTTGCCCCATTCCCCTTGCCCCATTCCCCTTGTTCCATTCCCCTTGCCCCATTCCCCTTGTTCCATTCCCTTTGCCCCATTCCCCTTGCCCCATTCCCTTTGCCCCATCCCCTTGCCCCATCCCGGTGCCCCATTCCCTTTGCCTCATTCCCTTTGCCCCATTCCGTTTGCCCCATTCCCCTTGCTTCATTCCCCTTTGCCCCATTCACTTTGCCCTATTCCCTTTGCCCCATCCCCTTTGCCCCATCCCCTTTCCCCGTCCCCCGTGCTCCATCCCTTGCCCCATCCCCTTCGCCCTATTCCCCGTGCCCCATCCCCTTTGCCCCATCCCCTTTGCCCCATCCCCTTGCCCCATCGCCATCACTGCTGCCATACTCACCTGCCTCTCCTGCTCTGTCCCCTCCCTCCCATCGAAAATTCTGTCCGTGTGCTCGAGAGATTAATGTAAGGGCCTTACATAGCGGGCTTTGAAATATTTCACTTTGTGTGTGTGAGGGATAAACCTGCAGGGGTGCATTGCATTTCCCGTCATTTTTCTTCTCCAGTTTACACCAGGCCAGATTAGAATCCAGTGTATTGTGTGAGATCTGAGGAATCTACTTCCTTTTGAACTTGCGTGGAAATTTTATATAAACGGTGGTACCAGTACACATTGGCCGAATTCTGGTTGAGGGGTGACAAAACAGATTTGCATGGTCGGCTGGAGAAATTTATATCCAAAGACACGCGAAAGGAAAAATCTACTCACAAAAGAGGTAAAACATGTACATGTACACGTGTAGTCCATATTTCTCAGTGAATGAAAGACACTGGTGGTAAGTCTGCAGCTATGTGGCCACTGGCCACATGCACAGGCAGACAAGACAAAGGTGCTGATTTGACTTTTGAGAAGAGTGCAAGAAGTGCCTGCCTGCCTATGTCGCAGCAGTGGTGCCACATGCTGGGAGTAGCAGTGGCAGCAGTGGGGGGGTGGGATGGCAAGGGGGACTGGGATGGGAGGAACAACAGACACACAGCCTCCTGCCCTGCTTGCTTACACCTTGCACACCCATTCTTTTCATGAGTGAAAAAAGGACAGCTCTTTTGAGGCGCCTCAAAAGAAGATCATAGCTCTCTCTCAGCTTGTGAGTTTTCTTCCAGCAGCAGACAACTCTTCTTTGCCAGCCAATCCAAACTAGCCCACCCTTTCCCTTTTCCCTGCCAGTCTACTCTCTCCATCATCTCTCCCCTGCTCTCAGCATCCCCCCTCACCATCCCTCTTTCCCTCCTCTCCTCTCCTCTCCCGCCATCCCCCTTTCCTCCTCTCCTCTCCTCTCCCGCCATCCCCCTTTCCTCCTCTCCTCTTCTGAGCATACTCTCTGCTCACCTCTTCACTCTCTCCCCTTCTGCACAACCCTCTCCTCCCTGCTCTTCCATAGCCCATCCCCTTCACACACTCCACTTCCCCACCCCCCACCCCCCACCACACCGTTTCCTACCCTAAACCCTCTCTACCACTCACTTTCCCAGCTACATGCAACCACCCAGCCCACACCCTTCACACCCCCGTTTTCCCCCTCCCCTCCCAAACTCCTTGATCTCAGCCCCCGTCCTCCCCTACCTTTCCACCACACTGTTTGCAACCCTAGACCCTTACTCTTCCCCTCACTGGCTTCTCCAGCAGCTGCAATACCCTTACCAGAAACTCCCTTCTCCTCTGAACCCGCTACCCTGAACCCCGACCCCTTCCCCCTCCCCTCCACTCTCCCCTCGCCTCCCCTCCCCTTGTCCTGTAAAAACTTTCCTAGCTATAATTTGATACGATCCAACGCACTCGGCCCCCCACCACACCGTTTTCCCAGCCCTTATGACCGCAGTTGACAGGCTCTTCTCACGCCAATCCGCTACCGAAGCCAAGCCCGGCGGAAACCCATCAACACCACACTCAACCTGCTCCCACACCCCTCCGCAGTCAACCCTTTGAAAGGCTATTCTCGCACCGACCCGCTACCGAAGCCAAGCCTTGCGGGAACCCATCACCACCACACTCAACCTGCTCCCACACCCCACCGCAGTCAACCCTTTGATAGGCTCTTCTCGCACCGATCCGCTACCGAAGCCAAGCCCGGCCGGATCCCAAGCCTAGTAATCACGAATGGCATGCCGACACGGAACGACGTCCACACGACTCTCTACTGACGCTAAGCCGCCACGTGGCGTCAAGAAACGCGTGGATCTAAAGCGAGAACAACTGACTGCCACGTGGCCGAAGAGGAAACGCGTAGATCCGAGGCGTGTGCAACTAACTAGCTGACGATGGCAGGACCAGCGACTGAATACAAAGGTCTGCAACGCGTGAAGGACTGGAAACCTTGTTGTATGGTCGTCTTGCGGTCTGGAAATCCTTTACCCTAGATTCGAGATCTTGGAGGCCTGGGACCCTAGAACGGGCTGAGAGCGACGAGAGCGACGGGAGCGACGGGAGCGAGATAAGCGCAGTGTCACTCTTGGGAGTCTTGAAATTTCTCAGGAGAGCGACGAGAGCGAGGAGACCTTGAATGGTTGATCCGATGCGTTGAACCACACGGAGGAGCGCGACGCCGAGGCGGCGATAGATCCTCCTCGACAGCACCAAATCCTCGATCTAATAGGCTCGACACAAGCCCTGATTCGATACAAGCTCTGCTTCAACATGTGCTCTCACGCCAGTACCACCAGATCCGCTGATTTGGTGCGGTGAGAGCAACAGTGTTTTATCGACGAATGATGGGGCAGGGTGGAACTATCGAGCCGGGCACCAAAAAAGTGGAAAGGGGAAGAAAGGGGAAGAAGTGGGCGTCGTGAAACGGGCAGAAGCAAGGGGAATAAAATCAACTATAAAGAACTAAAACATCAGTCTGTTATATAGGTACGTATCGTTTCACCACGTGTCGGCTCGCGGTAAGCGCAGCAGCCGCTATACCTCCAACAGCCCCCGCGATCGCCGCTGTCCTAGGTCCCGCCGCGGCCTTATAAAGCGCTCCGGTGCCCAGCCCCGCTACGACCGCATTCCACGGATCGTCCACGCCGCCGCGGTAATGATACGCAGCGCCTTCGATCCCGGAGTATAATAGCCCGACGATTCCCAGCGCGTTTCCCGCAGACCTTCCCCGCGATCCTGCGGCGTTGAGAACCCTATTCGCGCGCAGCTTGGCAGAATCCCCCGCCTCCCACGAGCGGAAGCCCTCCGCCGTTCCGCGGATTCCGCCGAAGAGCGCTCCGCCGAGGTACCCGCACCCGGTGAAGAAAGTGAGATTATCGCCGAAGCTTCGTCGCTGCACGGCCGCTTCCTCGGTAAAGAGAAACTCGGGCGCGTCGGGAAGGCGATAGATCCCCTGGATGGATCGCGCGTCGAGATTGGGGTACAGATCGGCGTACGGGTTGTACAGGTGCCCGGCCGATGGGGTTGCGGCGTCGTTGTCGTCGTGTAACGTGGCCATCGAGCGCCACGTGGCAGATCTAGCGGCGGAGAGCCAGAAACGCGAACAGGCACAGAAAGCTATCAACAGAGTATCGAGGATAGCTAATCAACAAAGGAACAGCTTGGGAGGGGTGGAATGAGGTGAAATCAGTGGCACGCAGATGGAAAAGGGGGACGAGGGTGGTGGAGTTCGGGAGGTTAGGTTGGAGGGTGGTTTGTGTGGTTTGTGTAGGAGGTAGCACTTGTGTTTACACGTGAAAGGAAGGGTCCTGACGACTTCTCAAGGTTGTTTCCTGCTCGGTTCAACTTCTGAGCTGCTAAACGTCAAGAAAAACCAGCTACTCTTCTTGACAGGTACGGTAAACGTCCTTGACAGGACGTTTTGCGGCTGCGAACTCAAAACGTCAACAAACTTGCGCTCGGGTTTCCATTTGAGTTTTCGAAGCAATTGAAACGCGTCATTCGAGATACGCCTTCACTCCAGACCCAAGGGCCTCCCAGTTCCTTGGAGGGTCCAGCTGTCAGCCGCACAAAGAAGAGTGAGGTAGCCCCCATTCGCTCCCCTTCTCCCTCAAAACCCCTGTCAGACCTCATTGTAGCCCCTTCGTACCGAACCTCCTTCCGAGGCCGGAACCTCTTGTGGGAATTTCTGAAGGAAAATTCAAGAGGAGTCATCGCGTCCAAATTGCAGATCTAGTACCAGCCTATTTGAAACAAGGTTCTTGTTCAATCTCGTAAATCAGGTTCCACCAGGAGGGGGCCCTGGTGAAAACCAACCCACCAGGGCCCGGATGGACTTGTGGGAATTTCTGAAGGATGATTCAAGAGGAGTCATCGCGTCCAAATTGCAGATCTAGTACCAGCCTATTTGAAACAAGGTTCTTGTTCAATCTCGTAAATCAGGTTCTTAGTCAAACAGCGAGCGTATCAACCTGGAGAAAAGGCGACAGCCATAACTTTTCAAATCTTTAAAACTCATGTCTGAAACGAATGTGAATAAAAACGCGACCCTGCATTCCTTCGCGACTCTACCCCTCTCATTCGGCTTCCCACAGTGCTGTGTCCGTTGCTTGTGATCGCACTTGTTCCGCAATGCGCGGCCGCGTTGGAGGCTGACTGGATCGCCAGGGTTTCCACGTGCTGTCCGTCCTCCACCCACGCTACTGCATTTGCGAATCTAGACCGCCCATTTCTCTTCCAGCGCACCACCACCGTCCGATCACTCCGCCTCTTCCTGGTCATTCAACTCGTAACGCGTCGCTCGCCTTCCGATCGATCACCGTCTTTATCATTCGCGAAAGTACCGACACCAAGCGATCATTACTGCGGCGTAACCCAGCTCCCCTCGCACTGATCGCGACTCGCGACATCACCCTCGTCGGTTAGAATTCTCGGCAAGATTAGCCTCTCGCCTGGCACGTCACCATGGCACGTGGCCGATCCAGGGACCTGCTCCTCGCTGCCGTCCGATTCGCCTCACGGCGTGGCGGTGTTAGATCCAACGGCTCAGATCGTCGCGTTGGTCCCGCGCACGCTTCCGCCCTGCTTTCGCGAAGCACCTGCAGCGCGCCAAGCTTAATCCCTCTCCAGGAATCGTGGGCAATTCATCACGGTGCAAAACGGTTACCGGCGCTACAAACCGCTGCTTTTGCTTCGGGAGGAGGGGTTCGGTTTGTCGAACCTCCAGCGCTAGGCTCGGATGTGGCAGGAGCGGGAGTGAGGCGGTATGCGTCGCAAGCTGCGAGCGCCCCGGAGGAGGGAAAGGAGCCGTGGCGCGCAGGCATGGAGAAGGTGAGGGAGTGAGGAGGGGTGCGTGCAGGAAGTGGTGTGGGTGTTTCTGTCCGAAATTCGCTGCATGCACGCTGCAAGCGCGCAGGAGGATGGGAGGGAGCCTTGGCGCGAAGGCATGGAGAAGGTGAGGGGTTGAGGGGATG